AGAAATGATTATATGCACAAGAAATAAGTGAAGTTTTAATGTGAGGGCGAACCATGGATAACAGTAGCAGGAAGTGTCTCAAACGTCTTCCAAAACCTGCCAGACCCTGCTGTTTTTCACTTGAAATGAAGTAATGACATCCCACCCACCACGCAAGTCACGGGGAAAGGGTTGAGCATTAGAGCCTAGGGCAGGACACGTTAGCCTCTACCAGGCACCGCGGATCGCTGGAAAAATAGTAGAAATTGGCCGAAAGAAAGAGATAGTATACCAGAGAAGATCCAGGGCCATAGAAGCTGCAATTTGTGACCCACGGTTGCAAATTGGAGCTTCTATGGCCCTGCACTAGGCTTCTCTGGTATACTATCCCTTTATTTCGGCCAATTTCTATTTTTCCAGCAATCCGCGGTGCCTGGTAGAGGCTAGGACACGTCACAGTGATCATCGGAAAAACAAACGGGGCACCGTGACAGGGAATGGTTACATCACTTTTCTGTGGATCAATGGCCTAAACTGCGGCGTCACTGGCATATATGTCGTTATGGCGATATTGTCCGTTTGGGGATGCATCTATCATGAGAAGCGACACCTGTGCTGCAGTGCAATGTGAACCAGTCAGAAACGGCCCTGAGGAAGGTGACAGACGGTCACCGAAACGTCGGCTAAATGAAAGACTTGGTTGTGTAAAAAAAGAGTCTCTTTACTCAGTGACTTATAAACCCGATGAAACTATTCACGGAAACGTGTGTGAATGTGGCGCGCCCCTTCTCAAATACGTCACACATTGGACCCGACCATTTCGCGCAGATCTGGAGGGACGTTAAGACGGTTCCTTCTATCGCTATCCATGGTTCTCTTTCTCATAAGTGTACAAATATATATTATATGTGTATTTTTTCCTTCTCATCCAACATGTTTGTTCAAACATCATTATTACAATACAAAATGACTATAAAAGCCAATGTTCATCCCATGATATCCCACACTACACACTATTGTATGGTGTGTATTAGGTACGTAGATTCGCTTAATGAAACTATTATAATAGTTATGTACATGGTATGGTCCAGTAGATGCCAAACTCTGTACGTTTTAGAGCAATAAAGGTTATCATTAGTCACCATGGCACCCCAGGTGTTGTTAGGACCTAGTGTTGGCGCCCCCCTCCCCTCGGTATTAAAGACCGCCATAGCTGAGGTCATCACGGTTCTATGACCTTCAAAAGTCGTCTATCCAGATCTGCCGAATTGAACGCTACTCTCCAAGCAGAGGTTTGGCTTTCCGCCTATTTTTGACGTCTTTTTAGGCGGTTTTATCCGGCTTTCTTGTTTTCACCGGTATCTTTCTTTTTTACCTGTGGCGTTTTGGATAACTGTCCTGCCAATTTCATACTGTTTTGACAATTTGATACCGTCTAGGCAGTGCTAATCAAGCCGCCAAAAGATCTGCTTGGAGGTGAAAAAGACTACCTGGCTACCGTTTCCACCACGTAAAGATGAAGTCTTCCGTCTTGCTGTTAGCCGCCTTCTTACTCAAGGTGCTGGTCTCGAGTGCCGGAGGTCAAGCTCAAACAACAGGTAGGTCACGATCACGGTCAAGATAAACAAACGGTGGTTCAGTGTTTTTCTGCCTTAAGAGCCATGCTGGCTCAGAAGGGGACTAAGAAGGGTTCAGTGTTTACGTGAGTTTCTACACTGTCCACAGGTCTTGCCATATACGCTGTTTACAACATAGACATGCGAGAGATCATGTTTTGCGTGGAAACAAATTTAAAGTTTTGTGTGCGACTAGGCAGGACCTTTACACTATTCTATGAGCCTATTCACAATGCAGCTTCCAGGAGTACACGACCAGTCATGTTATATATGTAAATGTGTGAAGACTAGGAAGACTAGCGGTGGACTGATGGTATTTCGAATTATTGATGATATGAATCTTTATTGCATGTTCTTGCCCAGATGGGCTAAATGCACAAGAGGATGTCCAGTATGTAAAACATGGGTACATGTATTTCATACTGGTACGCTGTATTCTAATGCAAAGCGCTAGGAATCTATACATTGCAATAATACTATATACTACCTATCATCTACTGTTTAGTTTCCCTTTCTTCTCTTTTTGAAACATTTGGAAACAAATTTACATAGTTTGTCTACTGTACATTCGTTCTTATATGACATCAAGTGTTTAAACATGTCCTGCTTTGACATTTTCTTACATATCTTGTCTAATTGTAAAGTATCAATAGCTCTTGGCGTTCATCTTTATAATGTACAGTTAAGTAGAAAGTGTATCTCGTTTTCAACATATAAATGATTACAGAATTCGCACGTTCTATCTTTCAGAGGGCTACGGCTATGCCTGCAGGATTATTACAGTTTCAAAGCAGTTTCTGTTGAATAACTGACAACGTTACAGGGCTGGGTACATGTGCACCTGAGTGCACCCAAATTAGGAGCTGTACACACTTTTTCCTGTGGGTGCACCAGTGCAACCAAACATTTTCGTAGGTTTACATACGTAAAAATGTCAAATGTATAGTAGTATGCAGCATATTCTTAACATCTACATGTAAGTGTCAGAAAAATAACAAATTCATTGTAATTATTATAGTACTTTTTTGATGACATTCTATCTATTCTATTTTTTTTCATATGGTGCGCCCAAAAAGTTTTTTTTTTCATATGGTGCGCCCAAAAAGTTTCAAAAGGTTTCACCTTTGGTGCACCTTTTCCCCTACATGAATTTCGAGCCCTGTTGTTTTATGATACGTTGACACAGATTTCGCCTGTGAAGGAGCCAGCCTACAGCTGTCCTGCTCGGACGGAAATACGCTCTCCATCCTGAACGCGACCTACGGCCGGACGTCCTCCCCCTACTCCCTCTGCCCCTGCTCCAACTGCCGAACCGACTGCCGCGCCAACACCAGTTATGTTATGATCTGTTACGATCTTTTAGTTCATTTACGAGTTCATTTTAATCACCATTATTGTATATAGCCTACCTTTATTTGTGTTCATATTTTGTTTGGATTCTGTTATCTGTACCTTTGATTCTCTTTTGTTTATGTATAATTTATTGAACTGGTGTCGTATAAGCCCACACGGGCTGTGCGCGGGAAAGCGCAAGACACGAAAATAAAGTCTCATTCATTCATTCATTCATTCATTCATTCATTCATTCATTCATTCATTCATTCATTCATTCACCAGCCTGGTCACGGTGAGGGCCTTCTGCCAGGGTAGTCAGCAGTGCTCAGTGGAAGCGAGCAACAACGTTTTCGGTGGAGACCCTTGTCCAGGCGTCGAGAAGTACTTGGAGGTATCACACCGCTGTATCATAGGTAGGTGACATTAAAATATTTGTTTGTTTGTTTGTTTGTACGTCCGTACGTTCTCCCATGCACTGAATGGATCTCTCTCTTTCGGCCTCTGTCTCTCTCTCTCTCTCTCTCTCAGTCCTGCAGCTGTGTAAAATACGTGGTATTATAATCACTTGTATGATTATTACAGCGACAGACCCCATCGACCACTTCCAGCCACGCCGACAAACAGCGTTTCCCACATCAGTGGTACGTGTTACTACCACCGGTACCAGTACCGTAGACAGTTGTGCAGAATCTTGCCTGGTTTCTCCGTCCTGCTTGGCCTTCCAATGGCCACGTGCAATCAGCTTCTCCAATACCTGCCACCTGTACCGAGAAGTCGGAGAGCCGATAGCTGACAGCACCAGTGACTTGTACTTCAAGATTCTACCCACGCAACCGGCGACGCAACCGACAACTACTCAAGGTTATACTACCGAAGGTAAAAGCGACATGACTCAAATTTAGAAGACACAACAGTGAATCTGTTAGAGGGACAGTCTTTGAATACTTTGGTTATCATACATACGTGATCATATGTAACTAATTTTCCTGATGTTTACCGAAAAGTTTAAAAGTATAGTCAAATATTGAACAAAGTACAAAAATACTATTTCACCATTTACATACTAAGGCCATGTCGATTTGATTACATGGATGTGATATATATCCGCGCACGCAAATGGTTTCTAGTCTCTATTAGACTAACTACACTGGCTATATCATATACAGGAGAATATTTTCCAGGGGAGTTTGGCCGCCTTGTAGGTTTGACTGACCGGACTCCCTTGGCCAATTTTACTCTCTTCCCGTAGAAAGGCCTGATGGAGGCTGTATGTTTACGTCCGTTGAGATAAGTTGAGTAGTCATCATCCGGTTGAAGTTGGCAGTCGTCAGAGTAACCATCATTTTGACTAACAACCTTTTCTCTCCTGCTGCCTCCCTTTCCTGCATGTAGCAAAGTACGTGCCTGCAGACGACAAAGTGGGGCCTGGTGTTCTGGCGGGAGTTGCCATAGCGACGGCAGTCGTCGGGTTCATTCTCGGAGTGGGGGTGAGCCAGCTGGTGCAGTGGTGCCGTTCCAAGCCGAAGGGGGAAAGTTCAAGGCAGGCTGATTTGGAAGGTAAAAAATGGACAACTTTTCTTCTTCCTCTTCTTCTCCAAACAAATAAGGTCAATGACCTGAACCAGACGTCTGTCACCATGGTTACTAGTGTTGGGTTACATCATGTTTTATCTACATAATGTACAGCAACTACATAATTCATTACATATTGATGAGTTTTTAGTGCAAACTGACAAGAAACAATTAAAACAATAATTCGACTTCTCCTTTTTTTTTACACTGTGCCAGCGATTAGCCGGGCTTAATTTTGCAAATGAAAGCTTAAGATGCAGTTTCCGATCCCGATGCCACATTTTATCAACTTTCAAAACATGCAAACTAAAAGAAAGCACGTGAACTTGACAATTTTTGCAGGAGAAAACTCCAACGCGGGGCGTTTGATACCGGTCCCGCTCCCTCGCCCAGACCAGACCGGGACCGTCCGGGTCCATTATGACGACGTCCCAACAGAAAGCGCGCCGCGTTTTCTTCGCCAGACAAGCGGGCAGTACCAGGAACTCCGGCCGGCAGAGTACCAAGGCTTGGAGCACGGCGGTGAGTTGTTATGGTTACCTTCGTTTCTTCCTCTTCTTCTCAAGACAAAAAGGGGGGTCAACGACCTGGACCAGACTGCTGTCACCATGGTAACTGGTGCTGTAGCAGACACCCGGTGGTGTTGGGTTACATTATGTACATAGCAAGTGGCACACCAGATCTAGAGTTGGAGGGGCTGCCCACGTGCATATCCCAAAAGGGTTTTTTGGTTCATGAATGTTTAAACTTGACCTGACCCAGTGAGACCTGTCACGTGGCTTCTTCAAAGTGTGACGTCAACACTGGGTCAAACACTTTTTTGTGTTGGAAAAAAACGTTTTAACTTAAAACAAATGAATAAACTGTTACTATATTTTCTGTTTCCCTAGATGAGAATGAGGAAGAGGAGTATGTAGAGCCCATCGCAAGGGAAGATTCCACTCCGTACGAGGCGGTAGACGACACTTACCTTGAACTTCAACCATAACTTGTTTGTTTGTTTGTTTGTTTGTTTGTTTGTTTGTTTGTTTGTTTGAGCCATATGCATCATTCGTGAAAAAACTGAACTTGGCCTCCTGAACTTGGCTTGCCATTTTGTATGTACTAGCAACTAGTTTTGGGTTACATCATGTTGCAACTTTATAGTAGGAGGGATTTAGACTCCTGTCACCATATATATAAATGTGTTTGAGTAAGAATTGATATGCGAAGGTCAACATTATGCATTTGCTTTGCAAAATTAATGTCACCGTTCTAGTTTTAACAATATGTATTTGCTTTGCAAATGTTACCTTTCTAGTTTATTTCCTGTTTGATAGGACAGCATTATTACCTGCATGGAAAATATGACTGAATACCAATTCTGGTTTTCACGGCATAGTAAAAGGCTCCTCTTTTTTCATTTTTTTTGCAAAAATCTGATCATATGATCATAACATAAGTGTTAACAATCAATGCAGCAAACAAAATACACATACATGTATATAGAGAAGTAGTGCACAGGATACTAGTAATAGCGTCTGTAAAGGCTAGTGCACGCGGACGTCAAACCGTTGCAGCAGCTTTTTTGGGTTCCTTCCACGATAGTAGCGGCCATAAACGAACACTTTTACGAGTACATCAAACAGCCCAACACAAAACAAGACTCCGTTTACATTTGCTTCGTCCAAGATGTTGATTCTGAACTCCATTCCGATGTAGACGTGTTTGTAATAAGCGTGAGAAAACGCCAGTGTTTGGAGGACGATTAGTAATAAGAGTGCGTCTGCCACAGACTTCATGTACCGTCGCTGACGCTCCTCCTTTTTTCTCAGCTCTTCTGGTGTTGTCTCTGCAAAGTAGAAATTGGAATTAAAATTTGTTCTCTTTCAAATTGATAAATATTGAAGCATAACATGACCAGAAATGTAAATTTAGTTGGTAAAATTTTCTTTTTTATGTTGTCTCACGGTAATTATAACTTACAATGCCTGAGTGTATATTTTCTTTTCCTTTTCTATATTTTCATGGTGCAAATTGTCCTCGTGCATGAACTTACAAATAAAACTAAGGACTATTAAACTTTGTCTTTTTCTTTTAGATAAATATTGGAGCATAACAATAAATCAAATTATTTGATAGATTTGGAGACCTAAGGCGTGTAAAACATTTGACAAGGTGTGAAATGATATCCTGGGTTTGTGAGCAATTGAAGCAATATGGTAGAGAATAGCATATATTTTTCATTATTTTTTTTATTTTATTAAATCTTTAGACAGCTGGGTGGCCCATTCAGTTTTGTCAAATTGATTTTCAATGGGGCACAGACTACAGAAACAATAACATTGTCAATATAACAAAGAAAATAAACTTAAATCAAAGTTTAACACAAATGACAAATTACCTCCTCCTTGTCCTGCCCTTAGAGCGTCTTTAGTCCGTTTGATAAACTTAGTCAGATCTCGAAGATGGTCCAGTTTCCCCGCGATGAACCAGGAAGCCAGAACGGGGAACAGCAGGAAGTTGTGGCTGGGATGCAGAACAAGCGGCAGCACGATGCTCCTGAGGATCCCCTCCAGACTGCACCTATTGATTTGAACTTACTTTATTATTTTGTAATCATCATTATGTACAAAGTTTTGTTATCTATGTTTTTATTTTATTGACCCCAGGAAGAATAGTGCTTTTAAGCACTAATGGGGATCGAAATAAACAAACAAAAAACAAACAAACCGCTCGCTGCGGACCCAGTTCACCACATCGATGGCGACGAGACAGATCATCAGCGCGCGCTCCACGGTCGTCAGAAGGCTGATGAGCGCTGTGACTAAGGTGGGGTCTTTGGCCGACATGTAGCCCAGGTATGCAGTCAACTGTTCCCAGGATGGCAGCCCTATAACAAACATGTACAATGTATAAGTTTATCCAGACAGTTGTTGCCTGTCTTCTATAACTGTATTGCAATGAGTAGTATACATGATTGTAAAGGCAATTAGCCTTCGGGCATGATTTTGCAAATAAGGTTTCATTGACGGTCACCAAATAATTCATTAAAGAGCTATTCCACCGCTGGTCATGACAGACGGACGCCATGCGCGGTACCTACAGGTTCGTTGTACCGGGGTAGTACCCCAGGGTCTTTTTCACAAGTACAATGAACAGTGGACCACAGCTTAACGTCCCTAACCAATGGCTACGCACGCTACAAAAAGTACAAGTACTTACATCCTTCATCCTCAGAGCTGTCGTCAGACGAAGATTCGCGACGCCCAACCCTTTCAGGGATAGCTGCCTGGGAAGAAAGCAAAGAAGCTAACTTGTGACAAATGTAGTATAGCCATCAAGACAATGCATAAGGTAGAGTGACGAAAAGGGGCAAAATGGTCTCGGCAACGACAGAAACGTGAAATTCAATCCTAAAGGACTGATATTTGAAATTTACGTCCTTTCAGGCTTGCCGATAATTATAACTGTAGTGCCGATACTTACTTCCGGCTCCACTGGTTGGACTCTTCCGCCGTCAGCATCTTGAAAGAAAATAATATACATTGAACATTAGACTGCTGACTTGATACATGTTAATCAGGGCAACTGGTAGCAAGGTATTTCAGGACGTTCTGGATGTATTATGATGTTTAGAATTGGTGAAAACCTGACCAGGCAATGACAATGTCGGAGTATCCTATCGTCTTTGTTATGGCGTTTTCATTGGCCTGCATAGTAGTACATGAACAGCAAAGTTTTGGTACACTAAAATACCCTTGACTCATAGCGTCCAAACACCTACCTTCCTACTAATTACAGTGTGAATTCTTTTCATACCTTCAAGTAGATCAGCCAAGTGACGGTGGTTTTCTCTCAGTACTTCGCGGAAGACTGGAAACGCCTGTGGTCCTCTTTGTACCAGAATGTCAAGGAATTCCGCCGTCTGCTGTTCCCCCCGAAATTGCTGCAGTTCTTCCTTTTGGCGCGGCATTATAATTTTTCTCTCTATGAGTGGGTTGATAACGTCGGCGACGCGTAGATCACGCACGATCTTAGTACGATTTCTTGTTAGAATCTCCCTGTGCCACGTCTCCATTTCGATTGAACTTATATCAAGGTGCAAGGCACTGTTATCAAGTGTTATATCAACAAGCCTGAGCTTGTAAGCGATCTTATACCCCAGCGTCGGACGACCCCAACGGACCTACACAGAGTACTAGTAACTTGCAGGGGGCGTCGGGGTGCAGGTCGGAGATATAAACAACGTCGTGTCAGATATAGATCGCAACGCATGGAGGGACAAGGTCAACTTAGTCCGGGCAACCCTTCCGATATGTTGAAGACCGTCAATTCTTACACGGTGTTACTTAATTTGGCCGCGACAGTGTTTGTGACGATTTCCGGGACCCGCTAATAATGCAACGCAGGTGTTTCTTCAAGGCGTCAACGAGCTGAGAGAGAGATTTACCACTCTTGGGTGAGTCATCAACACGCAAACATATCGGCGACACAAATCTTTCCAAGAATGATATCATACCTGCGGTATCCAGTTACGCCGTGGTACACAGTTCCCTAGCTCTTCAACGTATTCTCAGTTGCCGATAAAAACGTGAAATCGACCTGCGATTAAGTGAAGGAGGAAAAAAAAACAGACGCTACACGACTCACTGAGCAGCAAAACTGTCCCCGCGTCGAACACAGCAAGCATTCATCAGAGGCAATGGACCTGTCAACTCAAGCCAAAGCAACATCGACGGGTAGGCCCATATTTGGCACTTTGGCAACAAGACCGCATCTGTAATGAGCCCTTTCACCCAGGTGTGTCAGCACGCCTTTGCGTTGTATCCAGGCCGACTGTTGTAAACCAATCAACCAACCGTAAAGGTCAACACCCTGCGTCTATTCAAGGTACGCTACCTGGATTTTTCAGGTAAACAAGACCTGCATACAAGGACTGTCACCACGGCACTGTTGACTTTGCGTTACTGAGTTCTTGCGGCTTTATGAGCCTTGCCCAGAAAAATGTCCTGAACAAAGACGTAGAAACACGTCACGAACGTTGCCATGTCAACAGATTGGATCTTTATAGGCAGAATAGCTTTGCGTTGATCTGCGGAACTGTAACTGGAGATAACAACATTACACTGGGACATTGCTGGAGGCTAGACGGAGACACCTTGTTTTTTTGTGTGCACAGGTAGGGGAGGGTGGCGGAGTCTTTCAAATTCACCGTTGGATCCGAGAACTCCGGTAGGTACACACACTGTCTCTTCCCTAGTTGTACCGTACGTAGAAAATCAACACTTCGCAGGCCATACTTAAGGTGTGGTTAGACGTGTCATGCTTTGAGATCAGGCCGCTAGTACTAGTATCTTTCTGTTTATGAACCAGACGGTCAGCAACCAGTCTTTGTATCCGTCATACTAACTGTGTTACATGTATTTTATTGCAGACCTCGCATTCGACAAGGGTATCTAAATAAGCAGTCAAACAATCACAACGATGGACAAGCGACAACCGCTACGTGAACGTGAGTACATGTAATACAAGCATGTAATGGAACGCATAAGTAATGGTGCTTTTTGCCTGATACAGTACTCGTTAAAATTAAATATACGTGAATTATAATGGGAGGGAAGTAAGAGGGAACTCAAATAGCTTTCTTTGTGTGATTTAGCCTAGCCTACAACATGGCCAGATATCGTATAGAATGGAACTCGCTGCCACTGAGTTCAGTAGGAGCATACCCACTAGATAACTGTAAACAATACTTACAGATGAAAAGGACTATGACTTACATGTACAGACACCAGTATAGTTGGGTAATGTTTACTTTGTTCTTTGATAAATACTTCTGAAAAGGTCAAGTAGGTAATACCGGACTTTTAACGGTTGTAAAGGAAATTACTAGTACTGCAATTGACCTTTAGTTACTACCATTGTAAAGCCAGATACTGTGTACATAGTAATCATTACCTGAGTTTACAACCTTTGGAAAATCCAATTTTTCGTGCTGTGCCTTCTGCTTGGAGAAGCTTCAACAGTATTCCCCCAACACAGTCATTAAAAAACTTGTAGGGCTTTGGAGAAGTTTCTGAAACGTGAATGTTAACTAACTGATGTGTATTTTGGCAGTCAGTAGGTCTTTCTGCCATCCAGTCACAATGTTCAAATGTACTGTGGCCGACACGTACAAAAATCTGCGAAAGCTGCGTCGTTTGCGCCGACGAAAGCTGGTGTTGTACGTGTCGGCCACGGTAGAAATGATATCTATATGTATGCTAAGTATGGATCCAAATAAACTTATTATTAATTAACTCACGGCCCTTCCCATTGCCCGTTTCTACAAAGTATAAAGCAACATTTGTACATGTACTTTCAACAGGCACTGAGTCTGACTGTAGCACGAACGAAGATGGCAACTCTACAACAACAGAGCAAGGCCCCGTCACAAAATTCTTCAAACGGCTCTTCTTCCCATACCTACCGTACCGTTACACCAACGACACAAGCCTGGGCTCCGGACTTGTGGCTCTCTCTGCGAACATAGAGTTTGCCATACTCCTGGTGCTTGTTGCCGACTTTTTAGCGAAACTGTGTGTAAGAGTGTACGTGGGGACTGGGGACTGGTATGAGGCCCTGCACTGGCCCACGTCCCTGCTACTGGTCATTCCCATGCTGGTGACATTCAAAATATCCAGCACTATATTGAGGATCTGTGAGCTAGCCTTCGACAATAAGCAGTTAGAAACAGAATCCGCTCAAGGTTGGCGAGAGCAAGCTAAGGCTGTCACTGAAGAAGCCGAGCGGCTGTGCAGGAACATAAGATCAATCAAACAAGTAGCCCTCACCTCCCAGGTGGTGGTGATGGCGATGTCGCTGCGGATGGAGTGGGACGACATCTTTGTGGAGGAGGAGCTAACCGTGGAGCGAGGACTGTTCGTGCTCGGAGTTACCGACTTCGTGCTGAAGTTCGTGATGTACTGCAAGTATTGGGCCGTGTTTGACTTCACGCGGCTGTACCGCCGCTTTAATATTTGATACTTCAATGCAAAGTATTAAGAAATCCAATCTATGCTATCTGAAATGTCTTTCATAGTATCCATTTTTTTTCATTGAACAGCAGTGTTTGCATGCAAAATACTTGTAGGAATGAACACCATATATTGTGATGTACTGCAAGTACTGGGCTGTGTTTGATTTCAAGCGTCTGTACCGCCGCTTTAATATTTGAAACTTTCATCATCATCAGGTCGGGCGAGTTGCCCGGACCAAGTCCAGGCTCTTTCTCTCCATGCCGCTCTGTCCGCCATTAACTGCCCCAGGTGTTCGGCCCTCACCCCAGCATCTTCAGCAAGTTGGTCAATGAAGGTACGATGGGGTCGCCCTGTACTCTGGAGTGTCCATGGGTTGGTGCCCAGAATAACAGCTCACTGGCGAGCTCGTCTTTATGTCTTTGAAACTTTAATGCAAAGTTATTGATCACTTTCTTCTTTCTCAGACACTGATGAAAGACAGTGGATGCTATCTGAAATGTCTGACTCGAAATACAGAGCATTTATCCAGTTATCTATTGTCACTGTGCTGTACGCCAATTGAGCACCCGGCCCCGAACAGAAACCAAGTTTATATAAATAAATAAGTTGCTAGATTTATTTTGTATTACGCAATGACTTATGTGTACCTAGATGCATTGATTATATGCGAAATAGGAATGTTCCAGCCACTGTAATGTAATGTAAATGTATGTAATTATGTTTACCGAAGGAAAACATTGTTTTTATCAGTTTCTTCCTCTTCTTCTTCCGTTCCAAAAAATAAGGCCAATGACCTAAACCCGACGTCTGTCACCATGGCAACTAGTGTTAGGTTACATAATGTTGCAAGTGCCATGCAGAGCTGATTTCAAGAGGGGCACCATATATATGAGTGTGTAAACAAATCAGTAGTTTGTTAAGCTGGGTCATGTACCTGAAGGTAAACATGATGCTTTTGCTTTGTAAATGTTACCTTCCTATTGTAATTTTATTTTAGCTGTACGTCGATTTAATCCCAGGTCTTTTATGTACTTGTGTCCTCTCCTGGAAGAATAGCTGGTTATCACTTTGGTTATAAGTAGACAGCTAAGGGAGAGGTTGAACTTTAATAAACCTAAAAATTGGCAAAATGTCTAGCACTATCTGTATGTCTTAAACATAAGATGCATACTCGTACCCATCAACAGTTCAAGGCAGTTTGCCAAAGTGCACACTGCCTTGTTCCATTGTAAAACCGACAATCCTCTTTAGAATATTATTAAACAAATGGCTCTGCAGGTCTGGAGCAAGCCGCAATGGGGCCCAAACTTACGTCAGTTCTTCTTCCCCAGCACAATAGCTTCCTATCATCCAAATTTCGTGGCCCTAACATGAAATATCAAAACCGGAAGTTCAGCTGCAGTACCATAAGAAGCCGCGAGGGGGCCCACAATCTAATCATTTCGAGGTCTACCTACCCAACTACCAAATATCAAGCCAATCCTTTTAAGCCTCCTCAAGTTATCGTGTTCACAGACACCGACAGACACACGCAGAGAGAGACAGACAGACAGACACACACAAACGTCTCTGAAAACATAACCTTAAGGTAAAATAGGTCGGAACCTAAACATCTGCTTGGAGAGTAGTACTTTTAATCTTTCGTCACCGCGGATCCGGTTGGACGACTGACAACTTCTGAAGGTCAGAGAACCGTGATGACCTCAGCTACGTTACCTTAACAGGGGGGAGGGGGGCACCAACACCTGGGTTGGCCTGATGTGGGTTGGATCGATCAAACAGGTGGGACAAGGGGGTAAAAGATGGTTATACAAATGTATGCACAAGAAATGTGGGGGCAAACCATGGATAACGCTAACAGGAAGTGCCTCAAACGTAGAGTCGTGTGGCGTAACGGCAGAGTGCTCGAGAGGTCCCGGGTTCCAGTCCTGACATGCCACCTATCTTGTGCTCTTGGGAAAGGCACTTTACACGACTTTCCTCACTTAACTCAAGTGAAAATGAGTATTGTCTGCCCTGTATTTGTTTCTATGTGTGTGACACAACACCAGCAACAGCTGCCATACCTTTGTTCCACGTGTATTGTTTTGTAAGTTACAATCTCAATAAATCAAACGTCTCTCCAATCCCACGAGACCCTGTTTTTCACTTCAAGTGACGTCCCACTGCATGACCACGCAGGTGGGAAGGGGTGGGGCATTTATTAATATAGCCCGCGGCAGGACACGTCACAGTGATCTTTGGAAAACAAGTAGCACACACCCACACCAGGAAACGGCTACAGAACTGTTCTGTGGATCAGTGGAACTGCGGCGGTCGCTGGTTGTACACATATCGTTGTGAGTTATGATACATTCTATCCACATAGTATCTATTGGTACACTATGTATTCGAGTCATAGCGTAAAAAAAAGATGCGTACTGTAACATTTTATGTTTGACAGCCTATAGCTTTAATATAAAGTTCCCAGCATGTCAGTAGTAACATGCATTTAGGGCCATTTAGGTCCTTTTCAAGGCTTGGTCCCTCGACATGTACATGAATGTACGGGGGTACGGATCCTAGAATTCGGTAAAAAAGGGGACTAGTTGGCCAGGAGAGTCAGCTTGTGGTTTATAGAGGGGTAAATTTCCCCTCTAACTGCGCGGGCAAATGAACTCTACGCTGGCGAAACTCCCCTAGTCAATTATTCTCTCTATTGACTATAAACTTTGTATATATTTTACTTTCTCTGAACCCGCGTTGTTAGTCTGGTGGAGAGTATACATGGATTCCAGGCTATTCCCCAAGGAAAGTTTACCACGGGCCCCTCAGTTAGACCCTAACCAACACTTCTGCGGTCTAACTTCTGGCCAGTGTATTGGCCCTGGGAACAGTCTGGCATCAGGGCTGGCACAGAAACACGACTTCAGCTCTCCAAGCAGAGGTTGTGGGGGAATGATCGTTAGCTTTTTGTATGGCCCATATTTGTCGCTACCCCCACCTTGGGTCGCGCATGGACCCTCTCTGGCCAATTGGATACTGCCTGGCCAATTTGATATTTTTGATGACCCTATAGGATCTGCTTGGAGATTACACGACGTCCCCTTAGCTTGTGGGGGCGAGCGTTCAGGTCTGCTGAACTGAACTGGGCGGAAGTTTCCTGTCGGTTCCTAGAATAGGATAGGCTAATATTTCCGCTGCCTATTAAAGTGTGGGCGCAGGTTAGCCTCTACCAGGCTTGAGGAGGCGGCTGGAAAGAGTAGAAATCGGCCAAAATAGAGAGATAAGCATGTCAAGGGAGTTTGGCCGTTGAGAGAACATTTCGCCACACAACTGTTCTCTCAACGGCCAAACTCCCTTGGCATGCTTATCTCTCTATTTTGGCCGATTTCTACTCTTTCCAGCCGCCTCCTCAAGCCTGGTAGAGGCTAAGCGCAGCTGTGTACGATGTTGTTGTGTGCGGTGAAGAACGAAATGTGGATCGCTTGAGAAGTAATTTCCATGCCCGTAGCCAGGACTTTTATTGGGGAGGGGGGTTGACTTTCCACTGTCTGAGCATGGAGGTACCTCCATGGTCTGAGGGACAAGGCGAGGTTCCGAGGTCCGGGGGCATGCCCCCCCC